CTCAAACTCGGCTCGGTCCACATATCGCGGAAGCATATGGTAAAGATATGGGCTCACAGATTTGATCGCTTTTGGAAATCCGAAGAAAGAGGGCAAGGAGGGAAGGATGAAAGAGGAGGAGAGTCAAGAAAGACGGAATGTCCAGAATATGGAGATTTTTTTAAAAAAAAAGGATTATGATACAGCTTGCTTCGTCAGCAAAAATAAAAACTAAGCCTGGCGATTACCGTTTTGGGGTTTCAGTTTTGTTGAGAAAATGAAGGAATTCACCTGGAAAACTGCCTGCGGAAGGTGGTGATGGACAGGAAGAAAATCCAAGCTAATCAGCTGATGCAAAGCTTAGATTAAGCTTTATAAAAGAAATACTGTCATTTCTTAGCATTCTAATAAATATAAAAAACCGTGAATGTATAAACAATCGCAAATTTATGCCTAATCGCATGAATCCGTGCAAAATAGTGCAAACAAAAGTGATCGAAATTTGAATCATTGGCGACGCGCACTGGGCAGCCCCGTGCGATCATGCGTTTTTGCAGTATTTTGTGCTGCCATAAGATCACTCGAAATCTCGCTAGCTAGAAACCTCTTGTACATGCTAGTCCTCGAATTTCGGAAAGTTAATTATCCACGCTACACTTGGACAGGGAACATTCCCTCGAAATCTCAGACTCCCAGCTTTCTCATTCCCCGAGTATTCAAATTCCAGCCAGAAAATTTCACGAGGCCGCACGTGGCAACCAAGCAAAACGGGGGGCTGAATTTGATAAATTGAAGTTGTAGATGAGTTAGGAGCATTTCCTGAAAGTTTCAGTCTCCCAGTTTTCTAGGTTCCCGAGCTAGCGATTTTCCCGCCAGGAAGCCTCACGGGGTTGTACGCGGATACCACGAACCCCCGGGAGGCTGAATTTGAAATCTTTGAGTTCTATTTGGACTGGAAACATAATCCCAAAGTTTCAGCTTTCTAGCTTTTCTGCATCTGTAAGCGTTATGCGTTCTGCTTTTCGTTTTTCGCATCTGTAAGCGTTCTGCTGCACCTTGGTAATATGTATCTCACATGCGCCATGCTGTTCTGTTTTAGCCACAGGCCGTGTTCTTATACAAATTTTGTACGGAGACCTGTGGAATTGATAATGTTGCGTCAACTGTAATGATACGCATGCACGGACTCAACTCTCGTAGCCTCTCCACTACGGAGCTGGACCGTCAGTAACATCCTGGCCGACTTGAGTGTCCATAATGAGCTCAAGACACAGAAATATACCTATGCAGATACCAAAAAAAGGCAAAAAAAAGGACGAATTTAGAGTCCACCATAAGGATTTGCATTTACTAGACGCCGCATGCGACGTGTATTACGATCTTGGTCGCGCATCTTCTTTTCGATTTCCGCATCTGTAAGCGTTTCCAGAAACGGACCCCATGCATCAGCATCTGATGGATTTCTGAACGGGCAATCCACCGTTGGCAATGGTGATTCGCTGGAATTAAATTTCATTAAAAAA